CAAAATTTGGATGTTTTTCATTAAATATTTTTTTACATTTTAAAAAGGAGATAAAAGTAGAACACTGAAAGTTTTTAATGTTTTACTTTTATTTTAAAGAATGTAATCTTGGGGGTGCCTGGATGGTTCAGTCGGTTAAGCGTCCCACTCTTGATTTTTGCTCCGGTCATGATCTCAGGGTCCTGAGACTGAGCCCCATATCAGGCTCTGATTCTTTCTCTCCCCCTCCTCCTTGCCCCCCCCCCAAAAAAAAGTAATTTTGTTTTTTTCTATGGCAGTGTGGTCACTACCTGTGGTAGGCAGCATGATGCCCCCCCCCCACACCAATGTTCATGTCTCAATCCCTGGAACCACAAATCTGCTATTTCACATGACAAAAGGGACTTTGTAAATGTGCTCATGCTAAGGATCCTGAGTGCGGAGGTAATCCTGGATTGCACAGGCCGGCCCAATGCAATCCTTTTATGTGAAAGGGCGAAAATAAGAGTCAGACAAGATGTGGCAATGGAAATAGTGGTTGAGGTGATGTGACGGTCCAAAGATCATGGGCAACCTCCAGAAGCTGGAAAAGGCATGGAAGGTATGTCCTACAGCCCCCTGAAGGAATGTTGCCTTAACACCTTGATTTTAGGCCTGTGAGATGCATTTTTGACTTCTGACCTCCAGAATGGTAAGATAGTATGTCTGTGGTTTTAGGCCACTTAACTTGCTGTAATTTGTTACAGCAGCAATAAGAAATATTACCAAGTGCAAAACTATGAATTTGCAGCATGGCGAATTTGATTCCATGCAAGAATTTGGATTTTTCCTCTAAAACTCAATAGTTAATGTAAATATAAAACTTCACATTTTAGTGTTACAATTGGTTGTAGCAAGACCCAGATAATCTGGGAATATGTGGATCTAAAGATTTTTCACTTCAACATTTGGCATAAAATTTATAGGAAAGGGCAATATCCAACCCACTTTCTAACAGTAATTGATTCATTTAATTATAATTTATTTTTTAACACTCTGATTACTTAACATTCTTGACTTTTAGAAATCTGAGTGTCTATAGCACTGAAGTAGTGGGTATTTGTATTTACTGGAAGACCTGAGAAATTAAAGTTCTGTACTAGGATTATTAAAAAGATAATAACACGTATGTGATTTTTGACCCACAAATAATGACAATGATTTTACAGGCTTGTATTTGTACTTATGCTTCCTTAGTAAATTATCTTCTTTTAAAGAATCCTTCTGGGGCGCCTGGGTGGCTCAGTTGGTTAAGCGCCTGCCTTCGGCTCAGGTCATGATCCCGGAGTCCCGGGATCGAGTCCCACATCAGACTCCCTGCTCAGCAAGGAGCGTGCTTCTCCCTCTGACCCTCCCCCCTCTCATGTACTCTCTCTCTCTCATTCTCGCTCTAATAAATAAATCTTAAAAAAAAAAATAAAGAATTCTTCTGGAATAAAATTGAAGGCTTTGACTGGCACTGGATTTTGACCAATCTAAAGAAGGTGGAGGGAGTTTGTGGAAGCAGTGCCTACAATTGCTCAAGGATGTGGAGTGCTGAGGGGATAAGCACAAAGCAGGTGTGGAGGTGGAGATGATGGCCAGAGTGGTTTGTTACATTAAGCAAATAAATACATAGACTGAAAAATAAGAAAATAGAATAATGAAACTTGGGTTTTTATTGCTAGAGAAGTTATTTATAAACACAAAGAGAAGATTCCAAAAATCCTGAGATGTTGGATTGGAATTGAAGGTAAAGATACGACTGTTTTCCTAAAAATACAGATATACAAGTAAAGACAATTACAGATGTGTCTTTATATATAAGCAAATATACATACACTTCCTGACCCATGTCCACTGAGGCCTAGAAGCAATGAACCTTACTAGCAATAAGCACACCACACACTCAAATCTTGATTTTTTTTTTTAAGATTTCATCTATTTGTCAGAGAGAGAGAGAGCATGAGTGAGTGCGTGTACAAGCAGGGGGAGCGGAAGGCAGAGGGAGAAGCAGGCTCTCTGATGAGGACGGAGCCCAATGTGGGACTCAATCCCAGAACCCTGGGATGACCTGAGCTGAAGGAAGACACTTAACTGACTGAGCCACCCAGGTGTCACTCAAATCTTGATTTCTAAATACCATCCTCCACTAAAAAGAAACAAAGCTCCTTGGAGAAATGGCTAGGCAAGGAAGGGAGCAAAGAATGACAGGATGACAGGGACATGTCAGAAAAACTCAAGAGCCAGCTAGACGTGGCTCTCTGGCCATCAAAACGACAGCAGCAGAGCACCACCACTGAATAAAAGAGAAATCGAGTCCATACTGATATAAATAAATAAAAAACAAAAGGGAAGTCTCTCCCTTATAGAACACCAACTAATAAATGTGAAATGAACAATAGAAATTTTGTATGTGCTGCCGAAGCGAGCACTGAACAATAGAAATTTTAAAAAGCACTATTTGGTGGGGTGGGGGTGGGGGGGCGCCTGGCTGGCTCAGTTGGTAAAGCAGGTGACTCGATCTCAGGGTTGTGAGTTCAAGTCCCACACTGGGTGTAGAGCTTACTTTAAAAAAACAATTAAAAAAATAAAAAGCACTCTTTGGCAATGATCACAGTGATCCAGGCAAAAGTCACTGATAGAACTTAAAGTCAACAGGCAAAGGTTGATAAAGGATAAAATAATGGGGGGCGCCTGGGTGGCTCAGATGGTTAAGCGTCTGCCTTTGGCTCAGGTCACGATCTCCAGGTCCTGGGATCGAGCCCCACTTCCGGTTCCCTGCTCAGCGGGAAGCCTGCTTCTCCCTCCCTTTGCCTCTCCCCACTGCTCCTGCTCTCTCTCTCTCTGTGTCTCTCTGTCTCAAATGAATAAATAATAAAAACCTTTAAAAAAAAAAAAAGAATAAAATAATGGTGGAATTTTGGAATATCTCCCTACAAAATACTAATCAATTTACAAATGAAAAAAAGGAGAAACCTAGCAGACATCTACATGACTAGGTAATCAAGATGAGCATCACCCACGATAGGATGGGTTGCAGCACAGCACCATTCCTGTGGTATTCCTACCGAGAAACATGACCTGCATCTGGTCCTCAGGAAACATCCATGGACCCCGAGCCATCTCCAAAGTCTGTGGTCTTTAGTAATAAAAACTATTAGGGACAAGAAGGATGGAAGACCTCTCCCAGCATGAAGAAGACTGCACCTATGATTATGGATGGGACCCTAGAGCAGAAAAGAAGAAAAAGACATGACATAGTTGGCAAAATCCAATGGAGTCTGTGGATTGGACCTTAATACTGTTCTGACACTGATTTCCTCATGTGGATGGTTACAGAATGGCTACCTAGGAGTGTCCGCTTTGGGGAAATATACATGCAAATATTTGGGGTTATGGGGTATCGCGTCTATAGCACATTCTCAAACGGTTCAGAAAAAGACCAAGGAAAATGGGTATGTACACGTACAAACACACACACACACACACACACACACACACACACACACACAATTCCTGTTATTTGTGGTTTCCACATTTGTGAATTTGCCTATCTGCTGAATTCACCTGTCACCCCAAAATCGATACTCGTGGTACTTCAGTTATTCGCCAACACGTACTGAGTAGCAAAACCTCGAGTTGCCTGAGAAACACACTTCCAGTCAAGGTGGGACAAGACGACACCTTCCTTCTTTCTCGTTTCAGTGCTGATACGGTAAATAAGCTTCCGTTCCACGGCCTAGTTAGTGTTACGGTCTTCACATTTTTAAGCTTTCTGGTGGCAATCTTTCGGTTTCAAGTGGCCTCCAGGCTGGTGTTTAGGTGCTGTCCAGTTTCCTAAGCACCAGGAGGCTGCGATGCACCCTCCAGAGAACAGCAGCGGACAGGCTGGGTTCAGGCGTGACTTACAGCACGGCGGGCCCTGAGTTCCACGTGAACCAATCAAAACGGATCAAGGCAAGTGGTCTTTAAACGGAAACACACGTTAAAACAAGGTTAGGGGTGATGGCTGGAGGTGACCTGAGGCTCCTGGGGAACTTGACCAGGGGCCCGCAGAGCATCTGCTCGTTCCGTTTGCGGGGACTTCACAAAGTAACACGCTCCGAGACGGAAAACCAACCGCGTACACATTTGTGGGGGGCAGGAGAGTGCGACAGGACAGGCGAGGGGGCCCGGTGAGGAGACGCAGGGAGCGGACGCGGGGAGGGGAACCGTGAGGGACGCGGCAGCACCCGGGGAGCCCACGAGGCGAGGACAGGCAAGCTCTCCGTCGAGGCGGAAGGCGTCCTCTCCCCACGGTCAGGCCCCCTCTCCCACTCGGGGCGCCCCCCGCGCCCACGCCGCCCGCTCGTGCCGGCTCCGTACCTCGCGGTGGCACCTCTGCGGCGCGGGCTCGGACCCTCTCAGGGCGCGGCTCCCGGGGAGGCCGCCCCTCCGCACGGCCGCCAGACGGCCGCGGCCTCGCCGCCGTGACTCAGCTTTCCCGCGCCGCGCAGGCGCCGCCTCACCGTGACTCAGCGGCTCCGAGAAGGGGCCGGACTGTTCGAGAAGGGAGGCGGAGGAGCGAGGAGTGGGCGGGCCGACGGGGCCGCGGCGGGGGCGGGATTGGCCGGCCGGGCGCTGACGTCGCCGGGAGCGCCGGGAACGCCGGGAACGCCAAGCCTCAGCGGGGCGAGATTGGCCGGCCGGGCGGTGACGTCATCGGAGCGCGCCGGGCGGGTACGCGTCGCGGCGGCTCTTTGGCACCCGAGGCCGGGGATAAATGGCCGAGGAAGCGGAGATACGCGATGCTTCGTTCTCCCGTGGGCTTGGACCGCGCGGGGCCGCCCCGCAAATCCCATTTTCCCCGGCCTTTTGGTCTTGTTCCTCGTGGGTGACCGCTGGAAGGGACATCCAGCCTTCCGTGTCCGCCGCCTCCCGCTCGCCTCCGCAGCCACCCGGGCGCCCGACGGTAGCCAGGTCCGGGGATGGGGGACGCGCGGGGGCCCGATTCGCACGCCGGGGAGGGCTTCAGGTGCTAGCCGAACGAGCCCCCGACCGTGGGCTCTCACCGCTGCTGTGTCAAGGGCTGGGCCCGATGAGACAGCCACGGGCGCGCCTGCCACCGCGGTACTGCGCTCCGGGGCGCGGGCACTGGAGAGCCCGTCTGCAGTTGGGGCCATAGTGAGTGGGCGCGGGGGCGGGAGTTACAGCATCCTTTGAGGGTGTAGGGAAGCTGTGACGGTCGGGACGAAGGCCCCTTTGGAGGAAGTGACTCTGAACCATGACCCGAGGGGAGCTGGGGACAGCATGGCAGACCCTCCTCGGAGTGGACCCTCAGGACCTGACTTCTGGGGAGGGACTTCTTGAGAGTGTTGTGGCTGCTAGGTCCTGGAAGGGATCTCGTGAGGCCTGTTAGGGACTCAGGTTCCCTCTAGAGTAGCTTCAGCCCGTGTCCGCCTGGTTTCCACCATGAGTTAAGCGCTTGCTCTTCTCCCTCCTCAACTCCAGGTTGATTGTTTTTAGGGAGCAAGTTGTAAGTAAAACTCAAGGCATGAGGGTGTTGAGAACGGGAGGGACAGAGTTGAAGTTCTTCGGGAGAGTGTCGTCAACTAACGTGATTGAGTGCCTGGTGACGGTTTTGTGTATGTCAATGAGTATACTCATTACGTGAAATTGTGGCCCAGTTTTTTGCGGACATTGGTGTAAGTTGAATATGGGAAAACCCTGTCAACGTGAGTCAGATGGTTTTAATCAAACCTGAATTCTGGGTGAGCTTTTTCAAGTAAGAAATTAAAGGACCAAGAAACAGTCGGGGTCATAATGGATCCTGAAGGAGCTGGTAACTTGTACTCAAGCTCCTTTTTGCTGAAAAGGCAGCAAGAATTTGTGATGCTTTAGTGCTCTGCAGGGGCCCAGGATGACTTGGGCATTGAATGCTTTCCACAGAAGATGTTTATCTTCTTAGCTGTAAGTTATGAACTCTTGGGACTGAAATTCTGGCCATCGTACTTTTCATATTTTAATTCTTGTAGGTGATCTATCTGCTATCTGTATTTTGGACACTTCCTCATAATGGAGTTCCCTGATTTGGGGAAGCATTGTTCAGAAAAAACTTGCAAACAGCTAGGTAAGTGCTTTTAAGAGAATGTTAGAAAATGTGTGTTTTGTTAGCTGTTTAGTCGGGGAGAACTAGCCGTTTTATTAATTAGCTGTTCCCTGGGTCTTGACTCTGCTGGCTTTTCAGTGTTGGGAGGCTGGCCTGAGGTGCAGGTTCTGTTCAGCCCTGTTATTCAGCATCTGCTGAAGGCCAGGTACCAGGGCCAAGGCCAAGTGGATACAAGTGTGCTGCTTAAATATTTGTGATACTACATGGGATGAGTGTGTTTTGAAAAGAGCTTTATGGGGTGCCTAGGTGGCTCAGTCGGTTAAGCGTCCGACTCTTGGTTTTTGGCTCGGGGTTGTGAGATGGAGCCCTTCGTTGGGCTCCTGAGCTAAGCAGGAAGTCTGCTTAAGTTTCTCTCTGTGCCCTCCCCCTACCCCCCGCAGCCTCTCTCGAAAAGAAAGAAATAAAATCTTGAAAAGAAAACATAGCTTTATAGGTTCTTCAGTATTGCTGGCATTGTGAAATTCATGATCCCCAATTTTTTTCTCACATGTGGTACCTCAAGGATACATTTGATAGGCGTAAAGAACTCAGTGTAGGTAAATAACCTGTTTAATGTGCTCTGTAATTCTTTTGTCCTGATCTTTAAAATGCTATTGTTTTTTTGTTTTAGATTTTCTTCCTTTAAAATGTGATGCATGTAAACAAGATTTCTGTAAAGACCATTTTACTTGTGCTGCACATAGATGTCCCTTTGCATTCAAGAAGGTAATTTATCATACTTCATTCCAAAGAGTCTATTTTTCACTGTCTAAAGCTGTGCTGTCCAAATAGTAGACATTACCCACATATAGCTAGTAATTGCATTAAAATGAAATGAGACTTGAAATCCAGTTTCTCAGTCACACCGTGTAGCCACATTTCAGGTGTTCAGCAGCCACATGTGGCCAATAAGTACTATATTGGACAGTGCGGAGGTGGCACGTTTCCACCATCAGGGAGTTCTGGATGCCACAGCTCTAAAGCAACCGGTTTCATTTTTAGGGGCTCTTGAAGTCAAATTGTTGTATCCAAACCTTCAAAGCTTACTTTGCATGTTAAAATAATCTGCTCCTTTGATTCGTTACGTCGAGAAAAAACATAGCAGTATCTTTGTGAAGCGCAAGAAATAGTTTAATAGTTGACAAGGTATCTAATCTGGGAGGTGTTAAAAAGGCTTATCTGGGTAACTTTGCAGCCTTGGGATCCTATTTAGTGGCAATAGTACCTGGGAAAAATGGGAAGCTGAAGAGGACTCTAAGAAAACCAACATGTGCGAGTCCAAAGGTGCGCTCCCTCTGTTACTGACTTTGCCGGTGGCCCTTATTCGTTGTGTCTCCGGTGGTTCAGAGGTTATCTTAGTGACTTCTCTGTGTCTGTACTGCTGCTTCCCTAGGGTGGCACTTAGAAACGTGAATGACCTAGCATCATTACATGCTTTCATTCGTGTTGGCCAGGGTCTGACCCTCCAGCATTTTCTAGGTCATCATGGAGGGCGGGTCAGGGTGACTCATTTACCAGGCCCCGATGACTAGGCCACACTTCCCAGTTTATTTGTTGGCTTGACCTCCCATGCCCCTAGATAGGGAGAGTCTGGCTAGAGATCATTAGTAATGCTTTATTTCTCAATATGGCAGACTTGTCAACTGAGGGAGTGCTTCTGGGTGACCCTTCAGCTCAGCCCCTACAGACAGTAGGCCCCATAATTCTTTGATTACCTGTTTGGATGTCAGTTGTCACCTGTTTTTTTGCTGAGCTAAGTTTCCTTAGCTCCTGTCTTGGCTCTGAGGTTTTTTAACTGCTGGGCATGCAGCTGCTGGGTGCTTTGTTCTTCCCTCCAGAGCCCCTACAGTCTTGTGCTTGGGTCATTAGGTACCTGAGAGCTCAGCCTAGCTGTGTGCTCTGTCAGGAGAGTGAATCTCCCTGCGTGTGAAAGTCACAAAAGAACCAGATAGGCTGTTGGCAATTGAAGGGAACTGGAGGGTCTTTATGGCTCGTGTTTTCTTCTTTCTCTCCATTCTGAGGGATTTGGGCTGCTTCACCACTCACCGACATGGTGCTGGACAGACAGCCCTGCTGCCCTGAGACCAGATCAATTTCATTGGCTTCTTTCCTTGGCTGCCTTTTACTGATCATCTCAGGGTCATTTCTACAGTTGGTTAATAGTCTGTCATGTTTCAGTTCCCCTGGATTCCACCTATCTTGAATCTGTAGAGTTGCCTTACTGTTAATCCTTTGTGTTAACAGTGTCCTCTTCTAATGAGCGGTCAGAAGATCAGTGTGTGTACCCTATGTGGTTTTCATTGCAATGTGCTGTCGTACCTTTTTCTTTTGTGAGTTTTGATTGAATCTGGAATATCATCTATCATTATTTTTAGGATGTTCAGGTCCCAGTGTGCCCACTTTGTAACAACCCTGTCCCAGTAAAAAAGGGAGAGATACCAGATGTGGTGGTTGGTGAGCACATTGATCGAGACTGTAACTACCATCCTTGGAAGAAAGAGAAGGTAAGGACAAATTATGTTTACTCTGTGAATGTTTGGTCTTTCTGTAGGGGGGAAAAGGCCGGTTATCTAAATATCTGTAGTCCTAATCAGCTGTGTACAATAATAAAACCTTAGTGATGTGTCAGTGTTTTCCCATGTTGTGATGGCTTGGGTTCTTATAGTTACATGAACATACTCTGAATATTAGAGTCTGCGTTAGGATTTGCTTCCCTTACAGGATTCTTACCTTTTTCTCTCCAGATGGAGAGTTAATGTGGTTTCTAGAACCGTTCTGGGGTTTTTTTTGTGGGTTTTTTTTGAAGATTTTATTTAAGAGAGAGAGAGCTCAAGCAAGGGGAGCGGCAGGCAGAGGGAGAAGCAGGCTCCCCAAGGAGCAGGGAGCCCGACGGGGGACTCGATCCCAGGACCCTGGGATCATGATCTGAGCCGAAGGCAGTTGCTTAATCAACTGAGCCACCCAGGCGCCCCTAGAACCATTCTGTTAATGTGCACTTTTCCTGAGCTCCTCCTAGGAAAATCTAAAAGGGTACATAGAATTTGAACATTCAGTGTTCTTGCTTTTGTAGCATTAGTATCTTTGTGAAAGCTCTACATTTGTTCATTTGGAGTAAATCATGTTAGGAAAAACAGTAGGCCCCTCTTCTCCACAGCAGGTGCTTTCAACTCTTAGTCTTGTTTGTTTGGGGTACTTCCTTTTTCTCCAAGTGTGTGTATTGTTGTCTCTTGAGTTTGTCTTGTTCCCCTGTAGTTTTGGGCATTACCTGTTCACCACAGTGTGGGCTGAGCATGGGGTTCGCCCCCCCCGTTCCTACATGGCCACGTCTCTTGCCACTCCCGCCCTCCCAGCAGAGGTGGCGTGTGCTCTTGGGCCGGTGTTCCAGGTCTCCACAGCTGAGAGATTCCCTCTGCATTTTTCTTATGCTAGATCCTAGTTTCCTGCATCTATCTCCCTTACCAGGGGTCCCTAGTCTCCTGTGTCTTGTGTTTTTCTTTCTTAGTTTTCCCTTATTTGTGGGGAGGCCTATGTCCCACTTGCTCCCTAGGAAAGACCATGGAAGATAAATGGGAGGTCATGTATCTCCTGGGTCTTCGTTCTCTTGTTTCTCCTTGATTAGCTGCCTGGGGATGGCAGCCTGGCTTTCAGATCTTTGTTTGAATATTTGCAGGCGCTGGTTCATTTTCTCGTTTCTGCTGTGGCTTTAGAGAATTTCCCAGCTGTTCTACATGGTCCTTTGTGGGACCAGTTTTCTGTCTGGCAGGTTGGAAGCTCTCTCCCCACCCCACTCCTCCCCACCCCAGCCCCTTCCCAGAGTTTGGAAGCTTCACACTGACTGTTCCTGGTGTGGATCTGTCTTCATCTGTTGTGCTAGGTAGGCAGTGGACCCTTCTAAACTGGAAACTCCAGTGTTTCCATCTGGAATGCAATCTTGGATTCTTCAATTTCCTCTAGACTCCTGTGTCTTGGGTGTTGGACCTCCTGGATAGGTCTCCTTTTTTTCCTCCTTAAGTTTTCTTTCCCTGTGCATTCTGTGTCCAGGATGTTTTTTCTGCATCACGGTGAACGTCGTCTTCATGTGCCAGTCTGCAGCACGGTGGGGGCAGTGTGGACTCTCGCCTTTGCTGAAGGTCATCTGCCCAGTCCACCTTCTGTGCTGTGATTTCAAGTCTTTCTCTTGGGCTAATCAGATTCCCCTGAGAAGATGTTCTGCTCCCTGCCTGGAGAGCATGCTCTGGCTTCCAGGATTGTGGAGCCAGGTGGAGAGAGCTCTTGCATCTCCTCTGAAGGGAGTGTGAAATCCTTACTGCCTTCTGAGTGCCCCTCCCATGTTTCTTGTGTTCGTCCTGCCCATTGCTACACCTTCCAGGCCAGCATCCTCTCTCAGACCCTCTGCCGAGCATGCGTCTTCTGCTGGGGTCAGGTGCAACTCTGCTGGTCTATTTCTGAGACTCGCACCACTTCTCCTGTTGTAGTCCCACGGCACCCTGAGCTGCTGCTACGGCTGATTTGTGAGCCTTTGGGGGTTTTGTTTCGTGAATAGTCATCTTCTTGACTTTACCCACCAGTTTACAATTTGGCTTTCTTGTATCTGCCAGGTTCAGTATTACTTGTTTGTGTGCTTTTTTTTTTCCCCTAAAATCTTGCAGCTGTTTGGTTTGTTCCCCCCCCCCCCCGCCTTATTCTTGGCCCTTGTGGGCTTTTTAGAGAATCTTCTTCCTGTTATTTTCATTGTATTTCAGGAGTCAGAGCAAGTATGTGTGCAGTTCTCCTTCCTTAACCAGAAGTCCAAGGAGACTCAAACTGAACTTACCCTCAGTGGATGGCACATAACGTGTGCCCCTCTCCCCTTGGACCGCAGATTCTCAACACCACTCAGGCCTTCCTAGGGTTTGGTCTCGACCAGCTCTGTGGTTTGCCCTTCCCGAAGGCCCTACCAGGTTACTCAGGTTATTTTTCCGAGATGCCCTGCTCCTTTTTTCCCTCTCTTGTTGCTCTCCAAAATAAGTGCGTGGGCTTTGAAGGAGCTTGTCTCCAGGAAATTGGCTTTTGTCAGGCCCAAATCCCAGTTTCCAGTCATGGATCCTGGTTTATAGTTACGAACTACCTGGTCGTTTTACATTAAACACACAACAGTTGCAGTAAATAAGCATAAGTCTTGTTCACTCCCGCTTGCTGCTCTCAGCCTCCAACATGAGAAAATAAGCTCTGTATGCCTTAGCCTAGCACCCAAAACCCTTTATTAACCAGCCAACCCCAGTCCCCCTCCATAACTCCATTCTCTTCACCCCACTCTTGCTGTGCACTGTTAGGCCTTGCCCTCCAGTCCTTCTGGAAGTTCTTCTAAAACCTCCCTGCCTCTATATAAGATCACAGCTGCAGTAGGCATGCTTTCCTCCTGAATTGACAAGGTCTTCTTCGTTCTTGACTCACCCAAGATTCATGACCCAAGCCCGTCCTCTCTCCCCACCCCCGTACCCCAGGGCGGGCATACCCTCCTTTGCTCTCCTGGGGCAGGCACCCTGCATCCCTGCGCTGTGAGCACATGCTGTGGTGGCTGAAGGCAGTCTCTGCCTGCCCGCCTTTGCCAGAGTACTACTGCCCTCGGGCTTCTAGGTGGGTACCTTTTGACCAACATCCTTACTTCACAGAGTCGGCAGTACCTGGGAATTTATATCACTCCCTCACCCCACCCCTATCGCCCCTGGCAAATAAAAACACCCCAAAACCCCAGTAACAGAACGGGTATAGGGACTATAGATACTTCAGCTCCCTGGAATGTCCCCAGAGCCCCTGGAGCCAGCTGTCTTCTGTGGGACTGGACACAGTGTCACAGGCTTGGCGTCCTTCTTTCCATGTCCCTGATCTCCACTCCCCTGGGTTCTGTGGAAGTATTTTTGGCTGAGCATGCCTCCAGTTGTCTCACATGAATCCCCAACTTAAGGTGCTGCTTTTGTGTTTATTTGTTAAAACTTTCCAGTCTCCTCAGTACTCACCTGTTTACCTGGCAGATTTTGAATGAAATCTTGGAATCTTCATTCCTTGTAGCTAAGAACCATTTCTAGTTTAAATGCTGGTAGTCTTATTAGGGGCTTGTTAAATAATTGCTTAGTGAAGCAACTCTTGCTTTCACAGATTTTTATGTACCGGTGCTCAAAAGAGGGTTGCAAGAAGAAAGAGATGCTGCAGGTGGCTTGTGACCAGTGCCGTGGCAGTTTCTGCATTCAGCATAGACACCCTCTGGATCACAGCTGCAAGCACGGGGGCCGCCCCATCGGCACAGCCAGGTGAGAAGAGAGGCTGGCTCTGGCGTACCGGCTCATGTATGGTGACATCAGTGGGCGCGCCTGACCCCCATGGTGGGGATAGGGCAACTTTGAGTGTTGTACCGAACTAAGTTGTTGAGGTGAAATGTTTTTTGTAGGAGTTTGGTTGAATGTAATCTAAATTAAAAATGGATTCTAAATTATAAAGTTGGATTCTAGTTGTATTGTTTCCAGTGGCTGCCAAAACAAAGTACCGAGGCCTGAGCAGCTCCAACAGCAGGAGTTCAGTCTCCCTGCTCTGGAAGCACAGGTCCAAGATGGGGGTGTGGCGGGGCTGGCTCCTCCCAGAGGCTCTGGGCATTCCTTGGCTGTGGGCGTCTCTCCCCCCCCATCCTCTGTGTCCTTCATCACCTGCGTTTTCCTTGTGTGTCTGTGTCCAAATGTCCCCTTTTTATGAGGACACGGTCCTACTGGATTTAGGGTCCTGTCCTTCTCCAGTCTGAGTGCATTTTAGCTAATTACATCTGTGACAGCCTTACTTCCAAATGTCACATTCTGAGGTCCTGAGTGTTTAAGACTTCAGTCTATAATTTTGTGGGGACACAATTCAACCCGTTCACAAGTGGTATAACCGAGAGCACCTTTCTCAAGTCAGTGAAAACTTTTGCCTAAACTGGCTGTTGAGTGGAAGTGGAAGCGTAAATTTACCTTTTAGTTACTGGTAGTTTCTCGTGTTGTCTGGGCCTGAACCAGGCAGAGGTTTTGCTGTGCACACAGCTCTCCAGGTGAGCCGATGAAGGGGTCGATGACTGTTGGTCTGACCTTTCTGTGTAGGTGTGCAGCTGCCAGAGCCTCTGAACACAAGCCGTCAGGAGCCTTAAACACACTGTCCGCCAGTTGGCTGGCTCAGCGACTCAGGTATGGGTCCAGAGGGTGTGCACAAATACAGGTGCTTTGTACCAGGTGGTTCTTGTCCGAGTGACGAGCTTTGAAAAGTCGTTGCAGTGCAGTTAATAACTGACTGGTTGAAATTATTTGCTCCTCCGTTGGCTTAGTTGTAAGGAAGGGTGATAGAAGGTCTGGATGTGAGCTTTCTCGAGCCCCAAATTACCAACGCAGTTCATTCCAGCACGGAGTCTATCTAGCAGTAACATTTTTATAGGTGGTTTCTGAAATAACCTTATTTGGCCTAGAGCTTTTATATGATCAGTTGCTCCTGGTAAATCAAGACAGACCTAAAAAAATAAACTATTCTTTTGTTCTCTTTCAGGGGGAAAGTAAAGAGATGATGTGGCTGTATCCGCCCACACTGGCACACATTAGCTTGTTTTGTGTATCATTTTAGCTTGGTAGGCAGCACTTGTGCTCTGTTGCCTTTGTACTTCTCATGGCAAACAGTCTGAGATGCCAATAAAACTTTTCCAGTAAAATGTACAAATTTTGGCAAAATAAACAGAGGGCTATCGATATTCTAAGTTAGGCTAAGCTACCCCATCAGCCTCTGCTTCCTCCCTCCTGCCCCCCAAATAAAGTGACGTGAAGATTGATCTGGCACACTCAGATCCTTCAGAGGGCAGCTGTGCCCTGGCCTGAGTCCATCAAGAACCCAGGGTTCTGGAAGCCTCGGTCACTTACACAAGCACACAGCTGATTGCACTTGGTCTTCATCTTGTGGCTTCTGACAGGCACCTGAGCCCAGGAAAGGGGGGAGGCTGTGGGCCTATCTTGCTAAGGGCCCTTGTTCAGAGGTGGCCCCTGCACACACACAGTCCCTGTTCTGCTGAGAGAACAGCCCCGTGGCCGTACAGATTCAAGTGCTGGGCTTACCCTGACGGCCTCGGTCTGTGAGAGCGCCCCATGTCCTGTGACCCTGGGCATTGGGAAACATGAAGCAAAATGTCATTTGAGTTGGGTCCTGATCTTAACCCACTGGTCATCCACCTATACATTCAGACCTCTCCTTGCTCCTGGATTAATAAAATCCAGGCGATTATTCCTGGTGTCAGAGCCTCAAAACAATGCGGGGAGGGGCTTCTATTCAGTTTCCATTCCACAAATAGGTGATCAAAACTATTTCTGTGGGCTGTCTTAATTGGTGGTGTTTGTTTTCTGGACCAGTGGTTCTCACACTTCCCAGTGCTCATAATTGTGTGGAGGGCTCTGCTGAAGGGCGCTGGACCCCCCCTCCCAGAGTTTTCTGGTTCTGTGGGTCTGGGTGGGCCTTGAGAATTTGCACTTCTAGCAAGTTCCCAGCAGATGCTGATGCTGCGGGTCTGGGGACCCCACTTGGACAAATCACTTATCTGCCCCCCTGCTGTCCAGTATGTAGTCACTAGCCACAGTTTATGGAACACGGGAAATGCAGTCGGCCCAACTGGGGTTGAATTTTTAGTTGTATTTAACTTAAAGGCAATTAACTTGATGCACTTTTTAGAAAAATCTTCAGTATGGTATGTGGGTCTTGTTCCAACTGTAAATTTTAAATAAAGGTCAACCCTTTCTCATGGAAATTTAATACTCAAATTGAGAATCAAAAACACTGAGCTTTGAAGACAATACCAATAAAGTATGTCATTGTTAAAGTTATTTATTTACATGTTGAAATGCTAATATTTTGGAAATGATGGCTTAAATAAAGCAATAAAGTTAATTTTACCTGTTTGTGTTTTAACTCTGGCTACTAGAAACTTTAGAAACAGGTAGGTGGCTGGCTTTTTTAATGGTTTCGGGTTTTTTGTTTGTTTTTGAGAGAGAGCAAGCGCGTGTGTGTGTGTGTGTGTGTGTGTGTGTGTGCGCGCGCGCGCGCGCGAGGGGAGGAAGAGCCAAGCGAGAAGGAGAAGCAGATTCCCCCCTGAGCAGGGAGCCTTACGCGGACTTGATCCCCGGACTCTGGGATCATGACCTGAGCTGCAGGCAGATGCTGAACTGACTGAGCCACCCAGGTGCCTGGCTGGCATTGTAGTTTTGTTGGATGGTGCTGTTCTTGGTCATCCAAACTAAAGGACAGAAACCCACATCTTACCAGGAAGAGAATGGTCAGCTTATGAGTGCTCATGCTTCTGTCTTCGGGTTTGATTAGAACGTTTAGGCTCGGTACAGTGGTCCCCTCTTAGCTCAGGGGTACGTTCCAAGACCCCCGTGGGTGCCTGAGGCTGTGGATTGCACTGGACTCTAGGTATCTGCGGTTTTTCCCTGTACAGACCTGTGGTAGAACTTAATTTTTTTTTTAATTTTATTTATTTGAGAGAGAGAATGAGAGAGAGAGAGAGCATGAGAGGGGGGAGGGTCAGAGGGAGAAGCAGACTCCCCGCTGAGCAGGGAGCCCGATGCAGGACTCGATCCCAGGCCTCCAGGATCATGACCTGAGCCGAAGACAGTCGCTTAACCAACTGAGCCACCCAGGCGCCCAGAACTTAATTTTATGACTTGGGCACAGTAAGATGAACTACAGCTAGTAAAAGGGCAATTGCAATTATCCAGGCATACCACATACTATTTGCTTTATTGCGCTTCACAGATCTGTGTTTTTTTACCAATTGAAGGTTTATGGCAACTCTGCATTGAACACATCTGTGGTGCCATTTTTCCAACAGCCTTTGTGTGTCTGTGTCATGTTTTGGTAATTCTTGAAATATCTCAGACTTTCTGATTATTTGTCATGGTGATCTGTCATCAGGGATTATGACTCACAGCTCGATGAAAGCATGTTGTATCAAAGTATCTTAAGATCCATGCATTGGTTTTTAGACGTAATGTTGCACATTTTAATAGACTACAGGATAGCATAAACAGCTTTTATGTGCACTGAAAACCAGAAAGATCACTTGACTCCCTTTACGGAGATGTTCACTTTATTGTGGTCTGGAACCGACCCTAGGATCTCCGAGCTTTTCCCCTAACAATATACTGCAATAAAAGTTACGCAAGTGTGGTGTCTCTCTCCCTCAGAATTCCTTACTTGTCCTGCACTCCCCGCTACTTGCGATGGCGTGAGATGATCAAATGCCTTCCTAGTGAGATGAAGGCCTGTGATGGAGTGTTAGTCCAAATAGGTCAGAGGCTGTGTCAGGAGGGGGGTCGTCAGCTGCTAGACCGCGGGGACCGTGGGCACTGAAACGTGGACACGGGGATGGTTGTACTCAGAGCTCTCTATCTTCCCTCCAGCGCTGTGTTAGTAGGCGGTCGGGCTCCAAGGGATGTGAAAGCTTGGGAAGGTAGAAGTGCCCGGCTCCTTGTCCTGCTCCACAGCACTGACTCACTGCTCAGTGTCCCGTCTGGCGGCTCTGTCATCCACAGATATCAAGGTCCTGGGGTACCTCCTGCCCACCATGTGCGTCCTCCCACAGTGGCATGGTCTGGCCAGATACTGGCCAGGTCTTGGTCTTTGCACCAGGCTGTGGGCAGTCTGTTAGAGGTTTCCTGGTGTTAGTGTCACTGTGCTGAAGAGGATGTATGTTTATGCTTTGACAGAAGGTGCTAAGTTGGGGTGTCTGGGTGGCGCAGTCGGTGAAGCATCTGCCTTCGGTTCAGGTCCTGATCCCAGGGTCTGGGGATCGAGTCCCGCATCGGGCTCCCTGCTCGGCGGGGAGACTGCTTCTCCCTCTCCCTCTGCCATTCCCCACTTGTTCTTTCTCTCAAATAAATAAATCTCTAAAAAAAAGGTGCCAAGTTGTCCAAAAAGTCCTAGCAACATGATCAGTTTTACCAAGACCTCAGCAACTGCCTGTTTAATTTTTTCCTAATCTGATGAAAACATGGTGTCACCACACTCTAGTATGTCTTTAATTAGCAAAGTTGAGCATCTTCTTCTGAGAGCCATCCATTTGAAGGATTTAAGCTAAGGGAGTGCGCTCGTGTAGGTGCCACTGAGCTGCTCATGATGCACCAAAAGTTTGCGGCCAAGAGATGGAGAAACCCCAAGTGTACAAGTTTTCATGGGAAGCGCTGATAATAATATTAGCACATTACATTTTTTTAAAAGATTTTGTCAGAGAGCACAAGCAGGGGGAGCGGCAGGGGCAGAGGGAGAAGCAGGCTCCCCGCTGAGCAGGGAGCCCGATGCAGGACCTCATCCCAGGACCCTGAGATCATGACCTGAGCCAAAGGTAGACGCTTCACCAAATGAGCCACCCAGGTGTCCCAGCACATTACATTTTTTTAGTGTTAAAAGTCTGCATGCATTCTTGAGAAAAATGTAGCAGAGTTTTGTGCTCTGTGTTCATCTGTCCAGGGTAGGGAGGGGTTCACTTTTCTTATCTGTTGGGGTGCTTCTGTGGAAATGTTTGAGCACCAGGCAGTGGAAGGAGCTTCCGAGTTGCAGGATGGGACTGCATTTGCTCGGCCATTTGAGGAGTGATCTGGAGCAAGCTGAGTAACCTGTTGGCTGTACTGATTTGCAAACAGCAGCCAGAGGTGTGATTGGGCATGAGTGGCGTTCTGTTAACAGGTGCCGTGGGCGTCCTGTGTGTGTTCCCAGCTGTTGAGCATCCCCAGGGCAGAGGGTCCTCGGAAGCTCAGGTTGGATGTCTCAGATGGAAACCCGAAGCTTTGCTGAGAGGAACATGGGCACTCCAGCGTTCACACTCTGTCCCGGGGCCTCCGCCCAGCCTGCGAACCCACCACCCGCTCCTCTCCTGGACAAGTGGGCGTAAATGCCAACCATTTGAGGGGGTTACCCCTATCTTGTCCTAGGGAATTTGGATTTGTGGCCGATGTGGGGAGTGACAGCCGATGTATAAGCTGGACATTTTCTCTTGCTGGCTGGGACAGATGAAACATGGGTGCCCCAAGTCTCCTATCTGGGCACCTGGACCCACAGTCAGCAGGTGACAAGCGCCACGTGAGGTAGCACCTCTCCCTGCCCGGGTTGCCTTCCTGCTTTTCCTGAGTTGGCCTTGGGCTGGCACTAGCCAGCTGTTCCTGGGCAAGGCCCAGAGCCAGGCTGCCCGTCATTCCTGGTGTCTGGCGTCTAGTCTGCAGCCGGACTGGCCGCTGTCTGCCCAGTGGTGTGCAAGCCCCGGCATCCCATGCTCACCAGGCGTTACTAGAGGCCTTCCGTCTGGATGGCAATGAGGGCTGATGGGAATGTTGGTTGCGTTGGGGAAGTCAGGTGGGGTGTCACAGGGAGAGTGGACACACTAGCCATCAGCGTTTGTAGGTCATCCATGATCGGAGGAATTGGGGTTATTTTAAATGTATTTTTTAATCAACCTTCCGTATTCCTTCTTTGCAATAAGCCTAAGACCAAACTCAAAAGATAGGTTCTGAAATAGGTCAGTGGCTGAAATGGCCTTCGTTCTCCAGGCTTCTGACCTGAGAGTCGGCGTCTCTGGCGTTCATCCAGTATTGCAGAGGTCCTGAGGCAGTGGTGTTGTGTTCTGGGGAACATGCTGAGGGAAACAGGTCCGATTTCTCCATTTGGTCTGCTGGGAACTTTCCCAGCAGGGAACTTTCCCCGCTTTGCAAGCGAGGAGGAGAGTGTCCGGCTGTGGCAAGAGGTTGTTTGCTGTTGGTTTCTAAATTTTTTGCCCGAGGGCGCCTGGGTGGCTCAGTTGGTTAAGCGACTGCCTTCGGCTCAGGTCATGATCCTGGAGTCCCGGGATCGAGTCCCGCATCGGGCTCCCTGCTCAGCAGGGTGTCTGCTTCTCCCTTGGACCCTCCCCCATCTCATGCTCTCTCTCTCTCTATCTCATTCTCTCTCTCAAATAAATAAATAAAATCTTTAAAAAAAAATAAAAAAAAATAAATAAATTTTTTGTCCGAGTGTGTCCTTCGCTCCCTGCCTCTCACTAGGACGTTAGGGGGAGCTCTACCCAAACCCACAGTTGTAGAGTTTATACACATCCCAGTTGTAGGTGATGAGATCTTCTCCTTAGAATGTATCACCAGCTAGGATTTTCTTGGAATACTACAAAAGCAACCTTTTTTAAAATGGCCTTTAGTAGATGAACCAGGAGAGATGATGAACTCTGAAAAACAAACTGAGGGTTCTGGAGGGGAGGAGGGTAGGGGGATGGGTTAGCCTGGTGATGGGTATTAAAGAGGGCACATTCTGCATGGAGCACTGGGTGTTATGAACAAACCATGAATCATGGAACACTACACCAAAACAAATGATGTAATATATGGTGATGAACATAACAATAAAAATTTTTAAAAAATGGCCTTTAGTAAAAAAAAAATAAATAAAACATGCCAACAGGCAGAGCAGTTGGTTAATTTTACATTCTGTAGATTATCATTCTGAACTAAAGTAAAGTTACTTGTGCAGAGAGCTTCACTTTGGCTCAATCTTAAGAAGAAAGAAAGTGCGTTAAGAGTATCTGTGGGCCAGTGTCTCCCTTCCTGCTTTTCTGTGAACGTTCCCTGGAGAACGAGAGCACTGAGAAGGGCCACTGTTGCCACAGCACTCAGAAAGCCAGGGAAAAGGTCAGGTTCTCTGTATTGAGCAACCAGCTGTTGGTGCATACGCAGCGCCTAGATGTGAAATCATGGCTTGTCATTTGGCTGAGTGTTTGTGTCCTTCGCCTCCCACCGCAGGCAGGTCCTCTGGTGCTGCCCGGTGCTGCCAACCACAGAGCACTGGCTGCAGGCTGACTCTTTGGTCTGTCGGCGCCACATGCCCTCCCACCCACGTCCCCGCTGTGATAC